TCTTTCCCTTTTTCTTTTCAAATGAAGTATTTACCTTGTCACTTTGCCTCTTGTGTACTTGATTTACAGTTATGGTACTATTCCAAGTTAAAGATTATGACTAACCTGGTAATCAAGTTTGGACATTGTAATGTGGGTACGGTTTTCCAGCAAAACAACAACAACAACAACATGGGTTTCAGGTGGGATGTTTCTTTTTGCACTCCAAGCCACGTTGAGTTGAAGTGCCTAAAAGATTGGCCCCGAGCAAATTCTGTCAAGTGTGCAATTTAACACGTAAATGTCAGCAGCAGTTGCACAGAGATCCTTAAGAACTCTTTACCCCCACTCCTTATAATGAGAGGCTTTTATTCAAGGGTTCAATAAGTGTATAAATAATGATGATCACTTCCCCTGTCAAAGACAGCATGGAGGGTTTGGGCTGGCAGGAATTCAATGAGGGGAGTCGAGTAGGAGAAAAAAAGGAGTCGAGTGCCTCTCAATTCTCTTCGTTACTTTGACCCTGTGGCTTCTTCCAATGTTGAGGTACACAAGTGCAGCTTGATGGCTCAGTGGTAAAATGTGGAAACACAGTTGAAGTGCCGCGGGGCACGCAGGGTGGGGGGATAAGGTTACCCCCCCAACTGACCCTCTCCCACATCACCACACAAAGGAGCTGGCTTTTCTTTTTTGGATTCTTTTAATTAACACTTGCATTAAAATTCTAAGCATTCAGATGCCGATACAGGGGAAGAATTTTCTCCTTCCATCGACCCCCTTAGCTTCTCTCCCTCACCACCAAACCATTTTCTCTTTCTCTCCCCTTCTTTTTCTTCAATTCTCATCCTCTATTCTGTCCATGTTTCATTTATCTTTAGTGTTTGGATTAGGTGTCTGGCAGTGAGTGTGAGATAATTACTACTGACAGCTGCGCCGACAAACATTGAAACCACACAACCACCTTAGCACACTTTTTCTTTGATGATGAAAGACAGAAACAGTGAGGGGATAGAATGACAGACTTCATATGCTTTACACAGAATCTACTGCTCACAATAAAACTTCTGTCATTATCATCAGGGGCTTCGTCCAGTATGTGCCAGGCTAGGCAGTGCATGTACAAATGATCCAAATGCCAACAGTGCCAAAGGCCTAGGAAGCCATAAATACATGATGTGGATCAGGGTGTTGTGTAGCTGGGTATAGTAGAGTTATCGTCTCTGCCTCTGTTTTTTTTATCTAGACTGATGACAGCCAGGCCACAAGGACACGAGCATTTTACTGAGATACAAACACAGGGACTTCATTCTTTCATATTCTACGATGCACAAGGTCACAGAAGACAAACTACTATACACGTTCACAGTCACCTAAAAGATCAATTAAGAACATTCACTTCTTTGGACTATGAGCGAATAAATAGTAGACCCTGAGAAGAGCCCCTTAAATCAAACCAATGAACCAATGACGTTCTTGCTGTATGGCAGGCGCACTAATCCCTCTTTCACCGTGTGGCTACACAGAGTGAGAGGGTGTCAGAGGGTGGGGGGTTGGGGGGGTCAGCTTTGAATGTCACTAGTAGGGACCAAGTGAGGCAAGGGAGCAGGACTCAGGAGCAGCCTGTGCTTACAGTTGAGGCCTGTTACTACGGTAACCAAAAGGCCTGCAATAAGCCATTGGTTCCATTTGTTCCAATCACATAGCACAGTAGTATTCCATTAATGCCAAATGGGAAATAGAGGGAGGTGCTGGGCTACAAGTTGATGCGCCTCTCTGAGGCACCGCAGCATTAATACATTAGCAAACATCATGAAACACTGCATAAATGTCAGCTATTACTGACTCAAAGTAATATCGAGAGGTGGAAGTGGAGGTGGGTGAACAAGGGTAAATCTCCCACTGACAGTTATCCACTCTAATAGAAGTGGAGGATGGACTGACAATAAAAAAACTCCACTAAGAAGAAGAAGCCTATGGATACCTAACACCAGAATGAGAACCAATTCTTTATTATTATTATTATTATTTAGAGGTTATCACCAAGTGAAACTTTACATAAACTAATTAAAAGGTGAGATGTTTACTACAACCAACAAAACCACTCAGGTAGAAATGAGCAGCACTCCTGCTACATTGTTTTAACAATGCTTCCTGTTACACCCAGAACCAGAGTGCTCTGAATAAACTTGTGTTTTGTTCACAGTGGACTGTGTATTATCTACCCTCCTCAAGTTTCAACTCTCTGCAAGACCTTGAATAATTCAACAAACAATAAAACACAGTGAGTGGACTGTATCAGGGAAGGTGAAGAAACACAACTGTTTGTGTCCCTGAAAGGTGAGAACGTCTTTACAACGCACCCACTTCCTTCAGCTGAACAATTCAGGAGGAAATTAAACAAACAATACAAGCACTCGACTAACAAAAAGTGGCAGAAATTATCCCCAGTCAGCTGACCACTCACATGAACAACAATGAACATAATTGTGTTCAAGATCACATAGCCATCATGCTAAGAAGGACGTGAGCAAACATTTGTGACAGACAAATGCAAAAGAAAACAAACACATAGACAGATATACTGCATGCATCAAGAAAGCATACTTTCATCTGATTCAACTGCATGAGGGGCCAGTTTGCAGTGCAAAGTGTAATCTAGGGTTCCTACTGCCATGTTTATTGGTCTAAACCTCAGGAGATGAGGCTGGGCTAATGAGCTAGACACTAATACTGGCTCCCTACCCTCATGCTAGGCCAGCCAAGCCCAAGGCTTTCTCTGCTAATACCTTCAGACATTTCAATAAGAGCGGTGGCCGGAGTGGAGGCCATTATTACACTTCTGTGTCTGTGCTTTTTAATATCTTATCCAAGAAACACAGACGCGGCCGATGTTGTGTTAGCCAGGTGCTCTTGGGGTCTATGATGCCACAATAAGGAGCAAGGCATTCATGAACCTGGGCCTTCATAACCTTTGCTCCCATTTGAGGCACCCCAAAATATAATGCACGTATTACAACTGATAAACTACGCAACTACTACTGTAAGCTACCCAAGCCACTACAGTCTTTTATATGATAAGGGAAAACATATGTTATACATATCTTCAATAGGAACTGTGGTTTATTGAATCTAGCAATAACTTGCAAACATTCTCTAAATCTATTTTCCTGTGTTGTTTAATGCAGATGACTACAGTCATTTTTTATTTATCAGAAATATCTGCTTGTTTGTACGGTGATTAAGAGGTTGGATTTGCATGCTGTGAAACAAATTGTGCAAACAATATCTTGTTGGGACAGGATGTATTGATGTGCACATTAATGGTGCAGTATATTTGCTTTCTTTGCTTGCAGCCAACAGTGACATTTGGGTATCAGAAACACTGCAGCAGGGCTAGAAAGGATGATTTTAATCACATTATATTACGGTTTCTTTGTGTAATGTCTCCACACTAGGTTGTTCTTCTATTCAGTGGCAGCTTTTTTCTGATTGCTATAAATATATCATAACGTGTAACACTTAAAATATATACGGTGACTACTCTAATCTTCAATTGAACCACTCAGTTACATCACTGACAACACATTCTAATTTTGACACCAGATAGAGAGTCAATAGTCATCAGCAATCACATAGATCTAACCACTAAAATGTTACCAGAAGAATGTGTATACAACAGCTTCACAATGTAGCACGTTAATCTTATACAATTAGCATGGGAACACATATGCCGTTAAAGACGGTGGCAGACAAAAGGGGTCAGAGGTTCCTCAAGGTTCTGTATGAGAGACACTTCGGATCAGCTTGACTGTGGCCAGACTGAATTGCCGAGTAGAGCGACCCTGTGATGGGAGAGGTCAGCAGGACTCAATGATGTGAGCTTTAATGTCCACAGAGCGGGGGGACTGGACGGGAACTGTCTTTAACATCTTAATTAGCCCGTACGTTTTGAGCTCATGCTTCTGACAGATGGCTGTAGTATAAAACGTGAAGACAGCTACAAAGTGTGGAACTGTTTCAACTGCACTCCCTTTCCAAATTTTGCAATTGTGTGAGCTAGCACTATTAAAACCCTCTATATGCATTTTTCTCTTTAGGTCTGAAGTATTTATCTTTAATCTAAGACAATGTTTCTCATACGAAAAAATACAACTATCTGGATAATAAGTTATCTTGGCTTGTGTGCAAGGGTGAGGAAGATACAGTGATTGAATGTGTGTCTTACAGAGTCATCTGATGCTGATGCTGGCCACCCCTCCCATTGTTGGTGTCGGACTGGGATGTTGGTCAAGTCTGAAACGTTCCTCTTCACCTGTAACAAGAAAAATAAAAAGTTACAATAATGTGTTATCAGAAAATTAAAAATAATAATTATAAAGTGATAATTTAATATTGTCATTTTTTTCCTGAGTGATGACATCATGCTCTAAATGTTTTTTAATTATCTCTAATTAAATGAATCTAAGAGTCTTACATATAAAATATAGTTTTTACATCAACGTACACACAACTAGAATGACAGTAAACCCATGTGGGGGCAAAGCAGCACATAAAAGGGGGAGAAAAATTCAATAATTGTTATGAGCATTTTTCAGATGCCACAGCTAATGCCCAGCAACAACAGCTCCACACTCTGAAATGAACAGTATTTCTCTTGGCCTATTCATGTGTAGACTCTGTGTTTGCATCATTTAATAACATGCCCTGCTTTTAAACAGTTAGTAGTCTGCAGCGCCTGCCTCCCTGAATCCCCTGTTTACACCATCCAGCGGGCTGTTGGTTTAAAGCCCCGATGCCAGCCTGATGTGCAAGAGCCGCAATTGATCAAAGCCTTGTCGGCGTCTGGGTGCTGCGGCCGTGGATTCTCTCTCTTTGTCTGGCAGGATTCTGACCCTCGGGCCTGCAGTGGTCGACGTGGACTCTGAGAAAACTTTCTATTGTGTTAAAAAAGATCCTTAAATACACACACGGTACAAATCCTGCCTTTGTAAAGAGCAGGAGAGATGGATCCTTGGACATTTGCAGAGCTGCTAATCATGGTGGTAAAATATTGAAAAACAAAACCAAAACAGTGGTAATTTTTTTTTTTTTAATTAGACGTGGGGTGCTCGCAGAAAGTTTTATATTCAACTCCTTCAGTTTTCCACCTATTTCCCCCCAAGATATACATTTCTCCAGACACTAGTGACCTCGAGAGTGTTGGCTCTGGCACAGCAAAGCAATCTGTAGTTCAAACAAGCCAAGTAAAAAGAAAAGAACAATAATAAATGAGTGGCACAGGCCATCATTTGTCTTTCTATCGTAAATCCCACACCACACTGCTTGGCACCTATCCTTATGAAGTGAGGCTACGGCCATGATAGCAGCCTGGGGTCAGAACGGCTGGCCAGTGTTATTACAGAGTGTAATATCTGTGTTTGACCAGCCGGACTACAGGGATTTGACTGACCGGCTGGCCAGCCGATAAATAGAGGTGAAGAAGGGAGGAACGGAGAGGCATAAACACTAGTAATGAAGAGGCTGGAGTCAGAGGTTAAAGCAGCATCAGAGAAACAACAAACTAATGCCCACCGCAAGCACAGCTCAGGTTGGAGATGTGGTGGTGGTGGGGGGGGGGTGAAGACACACAGGAACGACACACCGGTCAGAAGACAACCTCATCCAAACACCCAAAAGAACAGCAGCAGAGCAGGCCCCATAACAACGTTAATCAGGCTTCTAGGCTTTCTCTCAATTTGGTGAATTAGAAAATGTGTTTTCTAAAGTAAAAAAAAGTAAAAGTGACAAATTATAGAATAGCTATATTGGCACTGGAGTACAGGTTAACATTATGACATAGTTTGAAGCGTCCACCTAGCTACAGAGCAATCCTCATGCTGGACAGCTGAAGTCACAGCACTGTCAAATGCTGCCCCCTGTCTGTCAAAACAGCCATAGTGCTCAGCCACCGTGCTCCAAAGTAAAAGGATATTTAATTTCTCAGATTTTAGCCGACACATTTTAAAGTCCTAATAAAACGAGTACTTAATACTGTAATACTAGTCTGTTTGTTTCTCAACCAGCAATATAGCCACAAAGACTATCATTTAATTTGATATGTAAAATAAGACGAACTGAGAGGAACTTTTTTTTTTGATTTAGCAGAAAGGTTTTTTTTTTTGGCTGTTTGGTCATGTGAAGATGAAGCAGAGGTGTAAAAGTTGGTTATACACAACATTAGCAGGTCTGGCTGTGAAGCCGAGCTGCTGGCGTTACACCTCAGAGTAAAATTAATGATCCAATCATGGTAAATGCCAATTGCCTGTAATCCCTAGCTGGAAGCAAATCAAAGAGAAGGAAAGGTTTCCATTAAACAGTCACAAGCTCCCCTCACACTCTCTTTCTTATCATCTCCACTGGGCACCAGATGCCTCTTTTTCAATCCTTTTTCGACCCTGCCTTCTTTTTCTCATCCCTGTCTGCATTTGGTTCCTATACATCGCCCAGCTGTGGAGCAGGGTTTGGGGCCCAGGCTTCAGCCCTGGAGGGGGGAGGCAGTAGCGAAGTGAAATCCCTAAGACAACTGGTCTGGTCACGGACGACCCAGGACACAGAAGCTCTCCCTATTCTACCCTCTACTTTCCTGGCAAACATTTGCTCTGCAGCTTAGCTTAGAAGCTAGCCAGCAACTCACCCTAGCACTTGTCTGGTAATGCCAATCACAGTCTACACATCCCTGTGCTCTGGAGATGGAAAAAGAAAAGAGAAGGTAGAAAAGGGACACTGCGAGAGAGAAATGGAGAATGAAGGGATTGAAAGGGAGGGGTGAGGGCAGTTTTTTTTTTCTGAAAGCCACAAGGCAAAGCCTGAGCCTTTGGCAAAGACAAACAAGAAGACAGGACTCTATCCCTATTGATATGCACAAGCAGGGACCATCGGTTAGTCTTCATCTAAGACAAAAGGGAGCATGGGGAGAAAAGGTGCTCTGTAGAGGAGTCCATATGTGTCTCTGAGTGGACACAGTTTGAAGAGAAAGGAGACGTGGACGGGCTAAAACGGGATAACTTCTTTGTTGCATTCTCTGGCCTTATTTATGTGGAGAGAAGTTTTCCTCATACTCATAAGTATAATTCTAAGGTTATATTATTGAGATCACAAGTGACATGTAAAAAAGTGATTAACCTTTCACCCGAATTGGGTTTTCTGAGCTGCCTGGAACAGCCTCGGCCATTCCAGACATGCATATGATGATTATGTAAAAATATCACAGTTTGGTCATCACCTGTGAAATTTTGCACCTTATCAAAAGAGTAAATAATATAAAGAGTGTGATTGTTCCGGGGCACACTGAGTCCAGATCTTTGCAGGTTAATGTTTGAGGCCTCATTTTCACAGCAGGGTGTCTTGAAATGCCTAAAGACAAGCATGTGTAAGGAAAGGACCACTTCATGGAGGCCCGTTTAAGCCCACATTGTCCCCTCTCTGTCCGCTGTGTCTTCTTACAGCAACCCCACAGAGCCGACGGTCCTTTGCCTCTTTTCTGCGTCCACCGTCTCCCCCCTCCCACACCACAGGGACCCCTCCACAGTGTTTGTAATCCCAGCAGAAACACTTAAGGTTCACAGTGGGTGCTCATCAAAACCATCTGCCTGAGTGGAGAGTAAGAGAAAGGGGGAGTGATGATGGATGGAGGAAAAAAAAAAGAGGGTGAGGGAGTAGAAGTTGAGAGCAGAGAGAGGCTCGCTGCTCGCTCCAGTTCAGATGCTGGTTGTACTAATCTGTTCAATTAGCACAATTACAAGCCCTGCCAGTAGGCTGATTATTAATGTTATTAGTGTAATCTTCACCTATACTAAGGATCCAGGGATGAGTCAGTGTGGCAGCAAGGAGCAAAAGAAAAGAGATGCTTTTTTTTACCCCCCAGCAAGTAAACAAAGGTGCAACTAGACGATGAAACTAATTGTTGAATAACTCAAATCAAAAGGTTGCTCTGATGAGTCTTTGGGGAGTTTATTTCTCTGAGAGCAGTCAACACACTGTGAATGATAAATTATGCATGGCCAGGTACACCTGTGTGTGTGTGTGTGTGCACAAGTGCCATATCTGCATAGGCAAGCAAGAGCAAGCATATTTCCATGGCTTTCCATTTGCAGCTGTGATCACAATAACCAATAGACGGAGAGATAGGCACTGTTTTCACACCGGGTCAAATATGAGTAGATATTAATATTTCATTGGCTGCCAAATCTACTGTTTAGTTTCAGACAAAGAAAATGAATGGACTCTGTCTCTTCCCAATGCTCCCGCATGCCTAGATCAAACAATGTTCAGTTATTTAAGCCGCCTCCCGGACCACTGAGGCTGCCGAGAGTAGGGGAAGAAAGACGCAGTGTCGGAAAGTGAGGAGCGCGGCTGGAGGGGGGTGGGGGGAGGGCTGTACCAGACCACAGCTGTGAGAGTAATTATGTGCTTGGAAATGTGATCATTTGTAATGAATAATGAATCAATGGCTCAGATAGACTAGCAATGTTTGGCAAATGGAATGAAAGCTGTGTTATGGGAAAACAGAATCAGGTACAATAATATTATCTTTGTGATAGTCTCAGTGTGAGTTCCTTCCAGACGTGTGTGCTAGTCGCACTGTGTCTTGGATGGTTGCTCTCAGAGCAAGAACGTGTGAGTTTTCATACTTCCTGTATGGTTCTGGAGCCGGGGAAGTTGAGGTTGTAGTTCTTCTGGGCTTCACGGTGGTTGATGACCAGCAGGAAGTTCTGGTTTAATGAATCTTGGAGAGCACTGTACAAAAAAAGGACAGGAAATCATTAGGAAAAGGATAGCAGGAAAGAAAAAACTGTGTGACGAGGAAAGTCAACATTATCACTAAGAGAGACTGAGACAAGTAAAGGGGCAAGCTAAAACTTGTCTACTAGTGGAAGCCTGCTGGTCCACAGGGATCTGGGCTGTTCTCAGGGGGCTAGTCGCCCACTTTACTGGTTATGTCTTAACAAGCCTGGCCAGAGCTGCACTCAGCACAGCATGATACCACAGCTTTGACCACCTGCACCATTAAAAACATGCAGTCCATAAGTCGGCCTCATTGCTAACAAAGAAAGACACATCAAGGACAAAGTCTATTGTACAGACCAAAGGCAGTGATTCTGCAATGAATTGACTACAGAATCAAAAATTATTTCACAAAACCCCAGAGGAAGAGTCAGCTTTAATTATCAGCATAGGTAACGACAGAAACAGAGCTATTACCTAGGCTGCTAATTCTGTTATTGTTATTGTTCTGTTATAAAAACACAAAGCATCATGACAAACACAAAAGAATCCAGTTACACCTGGAAAATGACACCTAAAGTTATTAAGATGACAAGTCAACAATTAGCCTAAGGAGAGTAATTTAAAAAAAAGTAAAAGAAACAAAGACTATTTCAAAAAATGCCTTAATTAGAGAAGGTTACTGTTAATTAACATCAGCCTTTATTTTAATTACAAATGAATGCTGAGGTCATTACACGGCTGAATCAATGAGAGCGAAGCTAAATTATTTGTAACCACTATGAAGATTATTTTTCTTAAAATGATGGACCTTACTAACCACAGACTTTGTTAAATCAAGTGCAGAAGATGGTTTTATTTAGGCTACAGTCACAGTTAGAACAGATCAAACTAAGAAGCAGTGGCACAAAGATATAAAAGAATATATAATATATTAATAACGATCTCTGGGAGATTGCTTCGACTATCAAATATCAAATAAATGGCAAATATCAACACTTTCTGTGTTTCACATACGATGGAGGACAGGCCCAGGAATCAACTTTTGGGAGCGTCATTTACAATAAGACGTGAGGTTAAGTAGTGTTTTCAGCAAACGCTGAGTCTGTGAGGCAGAATATTAATGGGAGGCTTAGGGGCCGAAGCACCCACTTAATCAGGGCTCAGAACCCAAGAAGAGGAGGAAGAGTTGAGAGGAAGACAGGGACGGGGGATTTAATATGTAGCACACACATTAATTATGCAATCACACCCTTAATCTGTGCAGATCTGGACGAGCTTATGTTAACAGAAGCTCAAATTTACTGTAATGACAGCATATTTACATTGACTAAAACTGCGAAATCAATATGTAAATGTAATGTTTGTTGTAGCTAACTGGAGAAGATTGGAAATGTGTGGAGTAGAGAGGATGGATGCATATGTAATAGGGCTGAGCAGAAGGATGGGAGAAATGTGTGTGCTTGTTTGCATGGGGGAGAGAGACATGGAGAAACAGAGAGGGAGAGAGGGAAGGGACACATAAATAAGGATCTAGCTAATATCATGATTATGTTTGGACACAATCCCGAGCTACTGCTGGCAGGAAGCTAAACTCCTAAATAGACAAAGATAGAGGGTAAACTGTGTGGAAGTGTTACTCTGTTATTCCAAACAGAAAACCAACATCTCCTCTTATCAGTGGTTGAACGCCGACCTGACAGAATATTTGGTCAAAACAACAAAAATTAAAATTTCAACCTAATCACGGATCAAAAGATACTAAAACTATTGATTTTAAGATTAAAGAACTTTGATGCATAAAGTTCCAATCTATGATTGCTATAATCCTCCATAGACAATTTTTTTTCTTACTTAAGGAAAAGTCTAAAGATGTTGTTTAGAAGTTGTTGGTTTTTTTTGTGCTCAATGATTGACAGACTGGGTGAGATTTTGGTCCTGGCTCAGTGGAGTTCAACCTGACAGTGTTGATGAGCAATATGTGTCATCATCAACTTAAATAATAATAAACATCAAATAATAATGTTAGACAAAAACGTGAATTTTATATTGTTTTATTCAAGATTCCGACCCCTGAGTTGTCTGTCCACAAAAATCCTGGCTGACAAATATAGTTGGTGAGCCCTGACCTACTGTGTATTATCAGCTGCTCTCCTAAGATTCCAAACAGATGACACTGAATGTGGTACTGTTGTACAGCATGATGTTACTTGCACTGATAGTGCCACCAAGTGTCACTGATGACTGCCCAGAGTATTAACTAATAAAGGCACACTGCCTTAGTGAAGACTGTAAACGGTCGAGGAAATTCACCCACCGGTCCTTCCCTGGTATACTGATATTTTTGTGAACCTGAGATTTTGGACATTAGTATTTGACAGAAGAGCTTTGCCATCTACTTTTCTGTATCTTTGTAGCCTCTCCTTTTAATATGGCATTGATTTGTGCTCTTTCTGAAAAGGCTCGACACAGTTGATGGAGAAACGGGTTTAAATTTATTAATGTATTTGATACTTTTACCTGCAGAATATCAATTTCTTAGACCAAATGTATCCTTGATAATGTTTTTTTCTTTTATAATTAAGAGGCTGACATAATGATAAACTGTTAATTAAAATGTATGATTTAACTGACCAAACTGACCCGTGGCAGGATTCCACAACTGTGAGGAAAATATTGTGTGGTACTCACTAATAAAGGCTAAAAATACCTTCAGTTTTATAATAAAATTAAAAAATAAATTAAACATCAAACGATAATGTGAAACAAAAATGTGATTTTATAGTTGGTGACCCCTGATTTAAATATTCACTGGTGTATTAACAGCATCAGCGTCAAATGATTGTTTTATGAAATTCTAATTAACTGAGATCATCAATACTTTGAGTGTAATATCCCAGTTCTTGGGGCTGGCTTTACCACTAATGTTGTCACAGCTCCCCTTATTTGATAAAAGCAGACCCCTGAGTAGTATGGAGCTGAAGCCTGGACGTCTCAGTGTTTGCTTGAGCCTTTAGAGTTTTCTCTCTATCCCCTCCCTCACACTCTCGCTCTCTTATTTTTTTTTTTTTTTTACCTCAGCCTGTCACACCGTGACACCAAGGTCGGCCAAAAACATCTCAAGAGGTACTTGACATGGCATAAGGGTGCTGGGAGGAAAATGTCATTTAACTTTATGGACAGAGAAAATGAAGCTCTTTCCAGGCGAAGGGGAGCGGGCTAAACAGATTGGTTTCTTTCTGAGGTAAGCCTATCGCCTAAGCAGAGTCCCCATGGCACAGAGCAGACTCTTATTAAACCAGCCCTGCCAGACAGAGAGAGACGCATGTGCACACGCAATGTGATGTGCCTGTAAAACACAAATACCCCCGCACAGGCGGTCACGGTCACACAAAGCACACCACACACACTGTCACATCCGCATTCTTCACAGATTATCACACGTTCATGCAATCTCATTACATTAATGCAAGTTTTAACACACCTCACAGGCTGAAATACACACCGTGACTGTGGTGCATGCTAACACGAACAGCAAGCGTCTCAAAAGAAGAGGCATGAACCACACACGGCTTACCTCCGCCACATTTTGCATCCACAACAAAACAGCAGGATGCGAAAACATTCTGCTTGGGTTTGATCAGCCATCCTGTTCTAGAGCTGATCAACATGCTAACATGTGGGCTTCCTCCCCATCAGAGCTACTGTAGTTAGCCTGATAGCCATCTCTCTGAAGCATATGTGCATCTACTATTGCACTTACATGGAGATGGTGGAGTGTGGGGGCCAGGAGACCACAGCAAAACTAAAAAACTAAAAAAAACCAAAATAACCTTAAATCAGCAAACATGCTTTCGGTTCAAGCTGAAGTGGAGGAGACCTGAGGGAGAAACCCAGTTCCATTGAAAAATTCATTAGGCCTTCATCATTTATGCAGGAGATTAGCTCCTCCTCAACACCCTATTGTATTCATGGCCAGTCACCAACACAACCACAGAGAACAACCTTCTAGAGATGAGGCTGCAGAACTACACACAACAGCACTATAGCTAAAGCGCTGCCCCAGATAGATTGGGGCTCTGAAGAAAATCTCCCAAAGCCTGAAGATTTATTTCTAATCAAACAACAAAGAGAAGTTTACTCAGCACCATAATAATGACAGTTCAGCACTATCTAATCTGTCTGTGCAACCGTGTGTGTGTGTGTGTGTGTGTGTGTGTGTGTGAGCACCGCCAAACTTGACAAAGTTGTTGCCGGGGATGTGAGGGACATTGGCAGTTTTGCTTAGCAACAATTTAGATTAAATAAAAACTGTAAAACTCCACTGAACGGTCATTTTAGATCACAACTGCAGACCAGTGACGCAACAAACCACTGTTTTCACAGTCAGAATCATCAGAGTCAAATAGACGACAGCTTTCACCTCTAACAAACAATAATCAGTGTTTTACATTTCTTAATAAAAAGTGCGGTGTTCTATTTTTATACACAGGCCATACCATGTTAACCCACAGAGTTCACAGTTACAGAGTCACACAATGGTTTAGATTCAATAATTTTATAACCTTTTGTATGTATTCATTATTTTGTATCAATATTTTATCTTAAGGCAGGGGTCGTCAATGTATTTAAGGCTACTTTATAATAGAGCTCTCTAAAATTGGTTAGGATCTTAACAACACGTCCTGTATGAACAAATAGTTTACTATTATTTAACATTTTTTTCTGCTTGTGATTATGAGCTTAATTCCAGTTAAAGGCCTGAAACGGTGAACTGTGCCTGGGCAGGAGTACCAAGAATGACCAAGAGAGTCATAGTATAAACATTCTCAGCAGCAAAAGTCAGTTTGACATATAAACTTACACACAGTGACTAAGAATTCTTTCATCAATCCTCTCCCAGTGTGACAGCAAGGTCACCTTTACACACACATTTAAACCCAAATGCATGTGTTTACACCCCGTGAAGTCTCAAAAGTCCTCCCCCAAAATAGCTTACACAAAATAATGAGCTCCTGACACCCAAAATGATATCGGTAACACTTTGAGAAATGGCAACGGTGCCGCTAAGAAGACACAGCAGTTAGTGGAGGAGTGAGAAGACGAGAAAAAAGGCAGAGGGAGACAGAGACGCGAGACGGGGGACGCGAGGGTCATAAGCTGCTAACACAATCTAACTAGCACTTAGTGAAACTGCAAACGGCCAAATGACTTATTTCACAAGTGAGCTGCTGACATGTGGATGCCTGCTGAAAGACAGCTATAGAGATTATCTTTGGCATTATTTTTCACTTAAGTCAAAAAACCAACTTGGACGTGTATGTATTAGACCGGGGATGCCTGCGCTATTTTAGCTTGAGAGCTACTATTACCAGGCTAAAGTAATCTACTAAAGGCTAACCTGATGTTAAATATATGTTAAATATATTTTAACTCATATAAACTGAACTTAAACTTATTAAACTTTATATATAAACCCACCCTAAATTTCCCGAGGGAACTCCTGAGAGATTAAGTAAGTGCTCTCTATCTATCTATCTATCTATTTACCTCTTAAAAATAATAAATACATCAAATTAAGATCACAGAGGTTTTCCGACTTTAAGCAGATGGAATAAAGGGAATAAACGGCTTCAGCTGATGTTGATCTGGTGCTGATGAAAGGACATTCACACATTCACAATCACAGCTGCCACCTGTGATTGTATTACTGCAGTGATTTGACACTGATCTGCCTGACATTTCACTAAGAAAGGTTGCTAATACTGCCGCGCATTTACCGAGATGAACAGAAAAACCTGTGTGGTGAACCTACAATGCCTTAATTAAGCTTTGTTACTGAATGAGCTCACGCACACACACATGCACACACACAGAGAACCACCAAGTGTAGAAGTCATGTAAGGCTTTTCAAAAAATTGTCTGAAAAACATCATACAAAATAAGCACAAGTCACAAAGATACAAAGACGGCGGAGAAAATTATTATTTACACAACACACGGAGGCTGAGGAAGAAGACGCTGCGTTCAAAATGTCACAGTGGACGACAGAAAATGAATGCGCAGCAGCAGGTCAAAGGTCTACTAATATATCAATGACAGTGGTGTTTGCTGCATGGAGCAAGTGGGCGACGTCTGCATTACTAGATTAAGACTGCCACCTAGTGTTCAATATTGCTATTACACCAAAGTCAATATACCGGTGGTAATTCATAGTATATAGTTTTAAATAGGGAAAAAAAATACTTAAAAAAGTGGTGCCTGGAGGAAAGTTCTGGGTTGAATACCTGTTTTTGCTGGTGCTGGCGGAGGGGGCGATGTCAGGTGTTAAAACATAGAGGCTGTTGTTCTTGGGCAGGTGTAAAGTTCTCAGCAGTGCCTGGTCAAACACAAACAGATAAACAGAAACATGAACTTTTAATTTAAAGAGTGGTTTAAGAAAGTGGTTCCCAGAGTATGAGGTATGAAGCTACATTAGACTGTGTGAACACTGTGTTGGTTCTATGTAAAACTGTAAGTTTAGGTATTTACTGTATAAAGTCGGATGTAACTGACATTTGGTTAATAATTTAGCATGTTTTTAATAAAATCTAAGACATCTTATTGTTCATTTGCTCATGATAGATTACTCAGCTCCAAGGACTCACACTGTCAGACACTTCTCCACTCTTCCACCCCTTCAGCTGCATTTTAGACACTGGGACACCGAGTTCTGTCCCAAGGATTTGTTTCATTTCTCCTGTAAATCACAGTTGTTCACATTGTTGACACTGTATTTCATGTACAACAGGCTTTGTATTTTATACTTCTACACAAAACATGTCTGTGTGTGTGTGTGTGTGTGTGTTCCCGTTGCTCACCGACTGAGCTGCCCTCCTCCAGCACCAGTTCTACAGAGCGCTGCCGGTACTCTACAGTGAAGTTGAGCATCCGTGGCTGCCGCTCTACAATGTGTCGAGACGAGGCGCTGACGGGGCAAAAACCTGAAGCTGAGGTCGATGGAGGAGACGAGGAAGAAGATGAAGAGGAGGGAGGGGGGACAGCATCTCCTGCTGCTGCATTGGCTGCTTCTGATTGGTTAAGAGGTCCATACATGCTGGCCTGACTTGCCTCGCTGGAAAAGTTACAGTGTATAAGTTAAAAAGATAACTTGTTTTAAAAGGGAAAAAACACAGTGACACACATTCTACAAACTTCTCAAAACAAAGACAGAAATTCAATGATTAGGATCAAATATTTTATTTCACATCAGTTTTATTCTGTCTTTTCTGTTTGTCCAGTGAATGAACTGTTGATCTGTCGACTATGAACAAAGTGTGTCCTTTGTTTCCATCAAGTGTAAGCAGCAACTGTCGTGCAAAAATTTGGTGCTGGGGGCCGGACTGTTTAACAAAGCCTCTATTTTATTTGGTCCACTACATTACCAGGCCTCAGTCCATAACAAATTCATCACACAGACACTGCAACAACAGGCTGTGGAAAAAACACAACCAAAGGATAAATCTTGTCTTTTTAGACATTGAAGACATTCTTTTTTTTAAGAAAACCATGAAGTTACATGATTATACAGCTATAAAGAAATCATTTTCACTGTATTAAAACAAAAACAGAATCATTCTGATGCTTGCAAGAGTTTATTTTAAAAACTATGCAACAATTAAACAGTATGTGTGAAGAGTTATTGAGTTTGTGTTCAAAATCATTACGACACTTAACCAGAGTCACAGTTCCAACTCAAAGGTGTAGGGATGACAGAAAGAAAGGTGTCGCAATAAACCCAATTAAATCAGAGACAGATTCCAAACAGCACAGCCCACATTCACTTAGACCTGGTATTGTAACAGTCAAGGCCGTTAGTGTGTCCGTTGGTGCTGTTTGGACCTTGATCCCTGTTGCCCTACACCCAGATGCCACCGCTCCTCTGTGTGGTCTTAGAGGTAAACAGTGACAAAACGCCTGACTAATTTACCCAGACTAAAACAGTGGTGACCATGGTGACCAACAGGGGTGCTTCATCTTTTCAGTTTAATTCTACCTGTTAATGTTTGAATGGTGGCAACACATCCCAATGTAATCCTACAGATAAAAGACAGGAGAAAGGGCAGGAAGAATGTATTTCCAGGGTTGCCGGTTTAGCTTCCAACTGGGCCAAACGCAGGTCACATCATCGACTTATTTAAGAGATGATGCCAGGCTACCCATCCCAGTGCCAGCCACTTAGAAAATGTTGGCTGATGCTTAGCCTGGCAGGAAGCCTCCATTCATACCAATGTCTGCCCTTAGGTAACACCAATATTCTCAAAGCCCAATGACCGGTGTCACACATGCAAAGTGTGGACAAAAAAATTAACCAGTCACACCAGTAGGTCTTCAGTTTGACTTGGTTTAAGGCAGTTTTCTGCATTCTGCAATTAGCGCAAAACACAAACTCCTAAAAAAAAAAAACACCTACAGTATCTCATAGTTTGAGTGTCATAGTCAAATGTTAACATTTTTACTCTTCTTATTTTTCAGTTCAGTAGCATTCCTCGTTACAAACCTCTCCTCTTTTAATCGCACATCTCCTCTGTAGAATGGATGTGTGTATTTTCTTTTCCCCATGTATATTGGGGAATGCCCATGGTCCTTAAAGTGCAGACGGACAGCTGAGTCCTAGTCTGAAGAGCTGGCTCTTCTCTGTTGCAACATACACATATACAATAACCGTTTGTTCTGTCTGATGTACAGGTCAGGACCTGGCTTTACTGGTCAGAGTTACCCAATGTTGCTATGTTTTTACTATGCTCTGTGTGTTCTGTCTTTAGGATGAATCTTTTATTTGAGAGGTTTAACCTAAACTCAAGTTTTAATTTTTATTGGTTTTTAGAGACACCAGTATAATAAGGAAATACAATGCTGTCCATTTGTCATGAACAGAGAATTCTGAGAGTGATGCCCCAGCCTGGACAGACCCCTTATTTAAACAACACTGTTTGTCTGAAATAACAACAGAAGAAGCAGAATTGGTTGATGCAGACAATAAACACCAAAGAACAACGCAACATTCTAGAGGTGGCATTTGACAATAAAGTAATGTACCTTTGCAATATTCCATTTTCTTGTGGTATCACTCCATTGATGGCTGCCTGTAATTAACATAAAAAGTGAACAGTAAAACACACCATAATGACATTGGGTCAAACTTTATAAGTGTGTACATTTAAGTGGTTCGTAAACCAAATAAGCAGGATGTTACCAAAAAATTACTTGATACATTTGGTTTAAGAAAATCAACAAAAGTGTTTGTTTTGCATAGTAATATCAATTACTAAAAATAATTAAATATAAACCATTATATAAAAAGATGTTTATTACCTACTCATGTGATTGATTAGAGAAACTTAATATGCCTAAATAGAACCTAACCTGTTCCATTTACTAGTGTCTGATGTTCTTTCTGATTCTTTGCTGGCTTGGGGTCTGTGAGCATTGCATGTAAAAAAAAAAAATCACAGTGACAGATGGAAAATTCTCAATGTGAAAACAAAGAACTGAGAGGATAAACTCAACAGAAGCAGTTGTCAGCTCTGTGTAGGGCTTTTGTGTAAAAGCACAAACAATTTTGTCACCCTTTTATTTCTGCAGTGTTAAAACAGTAAGCATGAAGGCAAAGCAAAAAACATCAGGGTCTGGTCCTGATACTGATGAAGCTGATGAATTCTTTTACTAAATTAAACTGAACTCTAAAAATATGTCTTTGTTTAGAACAAGTTTAAAGGTATTATGGTGCAGTTAAATAAAGGTTAAAAGTCATTTATTTTCTACACAGTGTCAGCATCATTATCAATTGGAACTGGTATACTGTGAAGGCTCAGCAGATGAATACAGTGTACTGGATGTTGTGCTCGAGTGATTAAATCAGTGATTTCATATTCGTTGCTACAAAGGTGCTACAATCACCTTTGATTATCAATGTTATAGAGTAATTCACAGGATTTGTTTACAAGATTCTATTGAAGAATCTTCCAAACCCACAGGCACATTACTATATGTATGCAAGCTTTTGAAGAAAATTAGTTTCATAAAAACTATGAGCTACTGCAAATGAAGTCATCAGCATCGTAGATGTAGTTGGTCTATCAGGCACCACCTGACCACTCACTGCTGCTGCTACTGTCTGATTTGACCTACTGCCAGCATCCATCTAAATATAGACAAACCCTTCGCAGTACACAGAGTGCAGTAGTGAACTCCTTGTTTTCCAGAGTCATTCAGACC